GAGACTAGGGTCCCAAGCCCGCAGGTCCAACTACTTGGTCCCTCTGGGTAGCTGGCTGTGACCAAGCAGTGACCACAACCTTCCCCTTGTCAACTCTACTATACACCTGGGAATTCTGATCATTCACATAAACTTATAGGACAATTGTCTGCCAACCCTATATATGTTCTTCGATACACCAACTTCCAGTCTTGTTGAGTTTTTCTGTTGTCTTTCTATTTTGTTTCATTTTTTCTGCTCAAATATATTATTACCTTCCTTTCTTGCTGTTCTTTTTCTAATTATTGGAGATGTTGATTTAAAGTGTTGATTTTGACTCTTCTTTTTGATGTGTGCATTTATTGCTATAAAATTGGCATGTGATCACTACTTTTGCTGTGTACCAAAGGTTTTGGTATGTTATATTTTCATTCTTCTTTGGTTCAAGGAATTTTTTTAATTCATTTTTTATTTCTTCTATGACCCAGTTATTCTTAAGGAGGGTGCTGTTCAATTTCCATGTGTTTGCTCTTTTTCGGTTGATTTTCCTGTTGTTGATTTCTAATTTTATAGCATTGTGATATGAGAAGAAGCTTTGCAGTATTTCAAGATTTTAAATTTATTAAGGTGTGCTTTATGGCCTAACATAAGGTCTATCATGGAGAATGATCCAAGTGCACTGGAAAATAATGTATATTGTGCTGTTGTTGGGTGAAGTGCTCTGTAGATATCTATAATGTCAACTTGGTGGATTGTATTGTTTAGCTCTTTTGCATCTTTGTTGAATTTCTTTCCAGTTGTTTATCTTTCATTGAAAGTGAAGTATTCAAGTGTCCTACTATGACTGTGGAGTCATCTATTTGTCTTTTCAACTCTTTTAAAGTCTGATTTATGTATTTTGGGGCTCATTTCATTGGGTTCATAGATGTTTATTATGGTTATATCTTCTTGTTCAATTGATCCTTTAATCATTATATAACGTCCTTCCTTGTCTCCTATGGTGGTTTTTATCTTAAAGTCAGTTTTATCAGAAATTAATATTGCCACTCCTGCTCTTTTGTGGTTGCCATTTGCTTGATATATCATTTTCCAACCTTTGATTTTTAGTCTATTTTTGTGTTCGTCTCTAAGGTGTGTGTCTTTTATACAGCATATTGATGGGTTATGTTTTCTTATCCAGTCTGCAACTCTCCATCTCTTGAGTGATGCATTTAATCCATTGACATTCAGTATAATTATCAACAAGTATGAATTGGTTGCTGTCATTTTGTTATGTGTTTTTTCATGATGTCCCTGGTTTCTTTGTTCCATATAATTTTCCATTCTGAGCTCATTATGTTTATGAATCTTGTTATCATTTCCTTTGTTGCTGTTGTTTTAGTATTTGTGAAATGTTTGTACTTGTCCTCTTTTTTATTGTGATGTGAAGGTTTCTCATTTTTCTTTGAGGTTACCCTGTGATTGATAATTTTCTCCCTGAGATTTGAACAGTCCATTGTATCTTGCAACCCTCTTGACTTCCTCACCATTTAGAAGTTCTGTAACTACACTATTTTTTCCCTATTTTTGGTTTGTAGTTTTCCTCTTTTCTCAATTGAAGCTTATTCTACTTTAGATACTTCCCTAGCTGTGTTGATTTCTGGGTTATGTCATCTTGTGCATTAATGGTCAGTTGTCTTTTGTTATTATTAGTACTCTGTTCAAAGGACTCCCTTTCACATCTCTTGTAAAGTTGGTCTGGTTTAAACAAATTCCCTTAATTTCTGCTTACCTGGAAATATCCTAGTTTCACCATCATATTTGTGGGGCAATTTTGCTGTGTATATAATTCTTGGTTGGAAATTTTTCTCTGTCAAGGTTTTATATATACCATTCCATTACCTTCTCACCTGCATGGCTTCTGGTGAGAAATAAGAACTTAGTCTTATTCGTTGTCCTTTGTAGGTAACTTGTCATTTTTCCCATGCTGCCTTCAGGATTCTTTCTTTGTCTTTGGTTTTTTATGAGTTTGATGATGATATGTCTTGTTGATTTTTGAGGGTTGTTTACCCTGTTTGGGGTTCGTTGGACTTCCTGAATGGATATATTCTCATCTTTTATCATATCAGGGAAGTTCTCTTCCAACAAATCTTGAACAATTTTCTCAGTGGTTTTCTTTTTCTCTTCCACTTCTGGAATTCTGATTATACATAGGTTATTCCTTTTGATGGTATTCCACACAAATCTTAGCCTTTCTTCTTTTTGTTTTGATCTTTTTTTTCTGATAGATCCCTTGCAAAGAAGTATTCAGATATTTGTCCTCAATCTCATTAATTCTGTCTTCCATTGATTTGATTCTATTCCTTTGCCCTGTCAATGTGTTATCTATTTCAGAAAATTTAGTATTAATCTTCTGGATTTCTATGTGTAGATTTTGTATCCTTTCTTTCATTTATTTTGTCTTTATGTTCTTGTATTTTCTTCCAAAATTGTTCTAGGGTTTTGTCTACTTTCCTTAATTTTGTCAGTGTTTTCCTTAATCCATCTCACAATCCTTTGAAGGTACCTAAGTATAATTCTTTTGAATTCCTTATCAGGGAACTTCAATCCTGCTGTTTCCTCAGGGATGTGTTCTGGGTCTATATCCTGCTCTCTTGCTTCTACCACTTTATGTTGCTACTTTGTGTGGACTGGGATGGTCTTTTGTCTCCTAGACATTGTGACATTGTTGTATTTACATTGTAAATGTGATTGTATGTTAGAGTGATTCACAGATTTTTGTTTTCTTTGTTTTTGTGGATGTATCTGGATAAGCAGGGTACTGTGTTCCTTTATTTGCTAGTTGGCAGCACTTATGCCCTTATCACCTGTCTTCTGAAGGTTGTGATAGAGAATGAGAGTGGCTTCACAGATCCCTGTTAACTGTTTGTGAAGCACAATTAAGGGTGAAGTAAGCTCGCTCTTGATGGTCATTTATTGTTGGCTTGGTGATGGAGGAGGGAGTGGTGGCTCTCACTCAGTAAGTGGAGCTATAGGAGGAGTGGGTGTGGTTGCAACCTATGGGTATGGTTGATGTCTTCCACTCAGTTAGACAAAAACAACAATCAAAAAACCATCAAAAAGTAAAAGTAAGTGGACAAAATACCACATCACATAAACACACAGGAACAATCATCAAAAAGAGAAGAAAAAAAAAGAGAGAGAGAGAGAGTGAAAAGGCAATTAATGAGAGAAAATATTTAAATAAATACTTTAAAAAGCCAAAATAAATATGCTTTGAAAAGGTGGGGGAGGGGCAAGAAAACAAAACAACAAAAAAGCAACGCAGTATCAGGGGAGGGGGCAATAAGAGAAAAGAGGTAGAGTAGGGGAATAATGAAGGAAAAAAAATGGGAAAAATGCAAACAGAAGAAAAATTAATGGAGAGTACCACGAGAAAGAAAAAAAATGGGAACCAGGAACAGGGAAGAGAGAAAAAGCTGAAAACCAGAACCTAGGAAGTGAAGAATAAATAATAATAAAAAGGAAGAAAAAAAGAAAAAGATTTATAATGATTTTTCAAAAGGCAAAAACAGACAAATTAAAACATAAAAAGAGCACCCAGACTCCGTCAGAGCACACAGAGTGGGATGGAATTCCTGCTGGCCCAGACGGTGTTGGGAGTGAGGGATGGCCGCATCTCCATTCACCAAGAGGGTTTGTGGTATAAGAATGACAAGGGGAATGTCACATTTTTCCAATCGTTTGTGTCTGGATGTCCTTGGAGTCCCTGGCAAGTGTAGCTTATTCTTAGGTGCCTGGAATCTGAGAGAACGCTGTCACTTTAAATATCCAAAATTGTCCAGCAGCTTGTAAACATTCAAAATGGCAATGCTCTCTGGACAGCCAAAAGTTCACAGCTCAGCACGTCTCCCTCTTTGCTGCTTCCCCTTTTATTCACCAGCCACCAATGCAGTCCTCCATGCAGCCTTTGGCTACAGGGGCCAATTTTTAGGTTAATTCTTAGGTCCTAACACCACTTGGCAATATCCAAGCTGTCCATGCTGTCGGGATCATTGACAGACCACAGTTCCATATGTCTCCTTTTTTGGTGTTTTCATACAGGCTCTTCTACTCATCGAAATTTAGTCCACTTTTGTACGCTTCCTTTCAAAGCTCAGAGCTCCAGGATTATCTTCTGTATCTGTGTTAATAGGTTCCCCTTTTCTTTGTAGAAGAAGGTCTGTGTAGTTTGTCTGTCTATTCCACCATCTTACCAGAACTCCCCTGAGAAAACCATTATCAAAGGAGTCAAAATGTAATGGTCAGCTCACATTTAAGGGGACAGTGATATGTTCATTTCTGAATACTGCTTTTTCTCCCCAGTAAGGAAATTTCAAGGTAGACAGTGCTTAAAAGTTTCTAAAATTACCTTTACCTGTATTCATGGACTGAGTTTTGTGCTCCCAGAATATGTGTCAGCTTGGCTGGGCCATAATTCTCAGTGGTATAGCAATTACGTAAGGATGTAATTGGCAGTTATGTAATGATATAATAATCCCCCATGATCTGATGCCACCAGCCAATCAGCTGTAAGGGGATTAGGATGGGATTCAACACCCTTCCTCAGGTCACAGCCCTGATACAATAAAAGGGCAGTTCCCCTGGGGTGTGGCCTGCATCACCTTTTATCTTACAAGAGATCGAAGGAGAGAGAAGCAAGCAGAGAAGGAGGGACCTGACTACCACCCAGAAAGAAGAACCAGGAGCAGAGGCTGTGTTTGGGCCCAAGGTCTCTGCCTGAGAACTGCTTAGACCCATGGGAAGACTGATGCCAAGACACATGGAGATCTCCAAGAGGTGCTCAGCCAACAGATTTTGAGTGGAGACAAGGACCTTCCCCCAAAACTGACAGGGAAAGAAAGACTTCCCCTAGATCTGGCACTTTGAATTCAGACTTATAGTCTCCTAAGCTGTGACAGAATAAACTTTTGTTGAAACCATCTACTCGGGATATATCTGTGATAGCATCACTGGGTAATGAAGACATCTGTTATCTGAGAGACACTTAGTTTTATATGTTTATTTTAATAGTAATTTTTAAATGTGTCCAATTATTTTTTTCTTTTTCTTCTTCTTCTTCTTTTTTTTTTTTTTTTTTTTTAATGCTTTAGCCTCCCCCTGTGATCCCACTTTCATCCTGGGATGTGCCCCCTGCAATGTGATCTGCTCCATTATTTTCCAGAATCGTTTTGATTATAAAGATCAGGATCTTCTTAACCTGATGAAAAAATTAAATGAAAACATCAGTATTCTGAGCTCCCCATGGATCCAGGTGAGGCCAGATCCTTTCTTCTTGAGAAATCTTTCTTTTTCTTTCTCTGGCAAGTGAAAAATTCTGTATTGACCAAGCTGTAAGGTTTGAACAAAAATGTCCTGCTTAGGGTCTGTTATGGATGGACTTGTGGCCCACAAAGCATGTATTGTAAATCCTAACTCCTATATCTATAGTTATAACCTCAGATGGGGATGAGTTTTCTTTATTATTTTAATGAGATAACATTAGGGAGTGTTTTAAGTCTACATATTTAGAGATTTAAAAGAAATTAAATAAGTAAATGAGTAAGCAGAGCTAGGGAAGAAAGTTGCCACCTCACGTGAAGGTGATCTAGGAGCAGAAGCTCTTGGAGAAGGAGGTTCCTCCAGAGCCAACAGAAAGAGAAAGCATTCCCCTACAACTAGCACCTGAACTCAGACTTCTAGGCTACTGGACACTAAAATAATAAATTTCTGCTCATTAAAACCACTCATTTGTGGTGTTTCTATTATAGCAACACTGCATAAATAAGACAGGGTCATGAAGTGAGCATCAGTGAGAGATAACCTGCCCTTTAGTTTCCAGATGAGAACACAATACTCAGAATACAGAGCTGTCTTCAAGCTCATGGACACCCTGTCCAGTCATTTTTCCAATAAACCCCAAACCCAGTTTCCATAAAATACTCTGATGACTTCTGAAAATATCCACACAGCAGTCAATGGAGAGTCAAGGCCCTTGTTGAAAGACTTCCATTAACTACAGAGCTTGTCCTCCATCTAACACCTAGTGACCTCTTCATCAAATTACCTGGCAGAAATATGCCTATTTAGGATATAAAAGAGGGAAGATGTTTAATACTGCAGATGCTACTAGGAAGTGCGGACTAACGTAGGGATGTTTGATGCTTCGGTTGTAATTCTAACTGATAAGGTAACTTGGGGAGCAGAAAATTATTGGGTTTTATTGTATATAAATCATAAACATCACAATTTCACCTTGTGCTGAGCTGGCACATTCTGCGCTCTGCCTAAAATGATAACTACATGATCTTAGTTGATCATCTTGCTGTTAGGTTCTATTGAGTTCTTTCCAACTCATAGTAAGCCTATGCATGACAGAATGAAAGTCTGATCCTGCACCATCCTCACAATTTTTGCTATGTTTAGCCCATCATTGCAGCCACTGTGTCAATTTATCTCATTGAGGGGCTTCCCCTTTCTCCTGACCATCAATTTTACCCAGAAAGATATCTTTCTCCAGGCACTGGTCCCTTTTCACAACATGCAGATGACATGACAAAGTACATGACATCAGTCTGGCCATTCCCACTTCTAAAGTGTTTTCTGGTTGAAGTTCTCCCAAGACAGATTTGTTTGTTCTTCTGGTAGTCTGTAGTATATTCAATATTCTTTGCCAAAACTATACGTCAAATCCATCCATTTTTCTTCAGTCTTCCTTACTCATTATCCGTCTTCCACATGCACATGAGGCAATTCAAAAGACCATGACTTAGGTTAGATGCACCTTAGTTTTCAAAGTGGCATCTTTGCTCTTTATCACTTTAAAAGAGGTCTTTTGCAGCACATTTTCCCTGTGCAATACATCATCTGATTTCTTGGCTGCTGCTTCCATGGGTGTTGATGACAGATCCAAGTAAAATGAAATCCCTGACATCTTCAATCTTCTCTCTGTTTGATGTTGCTTATTGGTGCAGTCGTCAGGATTTTGTTTCCTTTATGTTGAGATGTAATCCGTACTGAAGACTACAGTCTTTGATCTTCATCAGTAAGTGCTGCAAGTCTTCTTCACTTTGAGCAAAGAAGGCCATGTCATCTGCATATCACAGATGATTAGTCTTCCTCCAATCTTTTATTTTACTTGCAATTTGGGTGAAAATTTACAAAGCAAATTCACTTTCAACTCCACGATTCATACATATTTTGTTTCATGATATGTATTGCAATCCCCATAATGTAACAGCTCTCTTCCCACTTCCTCCCTGTGGTTACCTTTTACAGTATCTTTCTTTCCTACACATTCCTGGCCTCATTGAATTTTCTTCTAATCTTGATGCTGGATTCTTCATAAAGTCCAGCTTCTCAGATTATTTGTTCAGCATACAGATTGAATAAGTATACTGAAAGGGTACAACTCTGGCACACTTATTCTGATTTTAAATCATGAAGTATTCCCTTGTTCAGTTCAAATGACTGCTTCTTGGTATCTGCACAGGTTCCTCATGAGCACAATTAAGTGTTCAGGAATTCCCATTCTTTGTAATGTTATCCACAATTTGTTATGATCCACACAGTCTAATGCCTTTGTATAGTCAATAAAACACAGGTAAACATCTTTCTGATACTCTTTGCTTTCAGCCAAGATCCATCTGACATTAGCAATGATATCCCTTGTTCTATGTCCTCTTCTGAATCCACCTTGAATTTCTGGCAGTTTTCTGTCAATATACTTCTGCAACCATTCTTGACTTATCATTGCCAAAATTTTACTTGAGTGTGATATTAATGATATTATTTGATAATTTCCACATTCTGTTGGATCACCTTTCTTTGCAATGGATACAAATATAGATCTCCTCCAGCCTGTTGGCCGACTAACTGTTTTCTAAATTTCTTGGCATAAATGAGTTAGTGTCCCCAGTGCTACATCTGTTTGTTGAAACATCTCCATGGGTATTCTGTCAATTTCTAGAGCCTTGTTTTTAGCCAATTCCTTCAGTGCAGCTTGGACTTCTTCCTTCAATACCATTGGTTCTTGATCATATGCTCCTTCCAGAAATGCTTGAGCATTGACCAATTCTTTTTGTACAGTGACTCTCTGTATACTTTACATCTTCTTTTGATGCTTACTGCATTATTCAATATTTTGCCTATATAATCCTTTAATATTACAACTCATGGGCTAAATTTTTTCTTCAGTTTTTTACTTTGAGAAATGCCAAGAATGTTCTTTCTTTTGGGTTTTCTAATTCTGGGTCTTTGTATATTTCATTATCTACTTTACTTTGTTTTCTCAAGCTGCCCATTGAAATCTGATTGACTCTTTTAGTTCATCATTTCTTCCATTCACTTTAGATATTCTTCTTTCAAGAGCAAGTTTCAGAGCATCTTCTGATATCGATTTTGGTCTTTCCTTCCTTTCCTATCCTTTTGACAACATTTTTATTTCTTCATGTATGATGACTTTGACATCATCCTACAGCTCATCTAATCTTCAGTCATTAGGGCTCAATGCGTCAAATCTATTCTTCAGATGATCTCTAAATTTGGGTGGAATATACACAAGGTCGTATTGTGGCTCTCATGAATTGGTTTTAATTTTTTTTAGCTTCAACTTGAACTTGCACATGTGTAATTGATGGTCTGGTCTACCACAGTGGTGGTATCATGATCTTAGAGAAATCACTTAATTGCTCTTTTTAATAGTTATTTTATACATGAAATGCTAAGTAAGGTGTCATGGTAATTTCAAGCTCTTCCATTCCTAAAATATTGATTCCATTTCTGATGCTGCTTGGTAGAGGTAGAAACAGCCACAACTACCTTTCTGCTCCATATCAGGTTCAGGTTGTCCACTTCCTTAACCTATATGCTCATCAATAAAATGTGAACCATACTAATTCATGCCATCCTCTATTTTTTGGTTGTAGGGAATAGTTGGTGTTAAAAAAAAAAAAAGAAAAAAAAAACCAAAAGTATTGATATAAAGATGTTCTTTTATACTATAGAAATGATGTATGAGGTTAGGAAAAGGTTATCAGCTTTGATCCTCTGGTCAAAGTTTTCTCCCTTGAATCTTTCTATAAGCATAGAAAAATACTTTATAGGTACAGTAAATATTACCTTCAAATTGGAGATCATATTTTATTCATGTTTTTAAGCTCAATTTCTAACCAGGGCTTCTATTCATTGCCATCGAGTCAGATCCAACTCATAGCGACCCCTCCTTGGGTTTCTGAGGCAGTATCACTACAGAAGTAGATTGCCCAACATTCCTTCTGAGGAGTGGCGGGTGGATTTGAACTTCCAGCCTTCTGGTTAGCAGTCAATTGCCTTAGGCACTATGCTACCAGAGCTCCTAGCACACTATGCTTAGCATAAGAAATATATGTTGTCATGGGTGTTATATATATATATATATATATATATATATATAATAAAGATTTTTCTCTCTCTTAGATCTGCAATAGTTTTCCTCTGCTCATTGATTATTTCCCAGGGAGTCATAACAAAGTACTTAATAATATTGCTTATTTAAAAAGCTTTACTTTGGAGAAAATAAAAGAACATCAAGAATCTGTGGACATTAACAATCCTCGGGACTTCATTGATTGCTTCCTCATCAAAATGGAACAGGTAAAACATTAGCAGATCAGTTATTTGTTTGCTTGTACATTATGTGGTTCACTCAATAGTTCTGTACTCAATACCAAAAGAAACCAAACTACTGCCGTAGAGTCAAATCTGACTCATAGAGACCCCTCATTGAGTTTTTGAAGCAGTATCTCTATAGAAGTAGATTGCCCAGTCATCCTTCTGAGGAGTGGCTGGTGGGTTTGAACCCCCAGCCTTCTGGTTAGCAGTCAAATGCCTTAGGCACTACGCTACTTGATAGGGATGTTTAAGTAATGTTTGACAAGCCTTTTAAGTACCTATAATATGCATGGGAGCTCTGGTAGAATAGTGGCTAAGACACTTGCCTGCTAACCAGACGGCTGGCGGTTCAAACCCACCAGCCACTCCTCAGAAGGAAGGTTGGGCAATCCTACTTCTGTAGTGATACTGCCTCGGAAACCCAAGGAGGGGTCGCTATGAGTCGGGTTTGACTCGACGGCACATAACAACAACAACAATATGCATATGCATGCACTACACATCATGGATAAATTTTAACTGAATGGTTAAAAAATTATAGAGTACATGGACGCTGTTCTTTAGCTACTAATAATCAACCTAAAGAGATACAGAATGTACACCTGAGTTGAAATGGAAACAATTACAAACAAGTCAAAAATACAAAATATCATGCCATCAGATGAAGATGGAAATGATCCTTGCACACAGTGCATGGGCGAGTGAGAAGGAATATTTGTAAAGAGGTACAGGACAGGGCATTTCAGATGCACTGAATGGAGTGTGCAGAGGTTCAGAGATGTGTGGTGTCAAAGACATCAGGTAGGTGGAAGGGAGAAGCCTTAATTGAGTGTAACCAAAAATAAATTTCCACAGATAAGGATTTGGGTTTTGATGACTGTTAAGTAACCTTTAAACATGAATGTTGGCATGGAAAACTTTATTTGACCTGTTAGATGTATGAGTGTACAGGAATAAAATGCAGATAAGTTATATAGAATGATCTGTGTGATCATTCTATATATGATCCAGGAGTTATATAGAATGATCTGTGTGATGAGAGTGAAGATCAAGACCAGCTGGGAGACTGTTTATTTATTTAGATTTGGTCTCAGTTAGAATGTAGACCATGGATATACAGAGTCTAAAATAAAATCAAGTTGTCTATCATGTCATGTTCTCAGAAATCTAGAAAGAGACTTAATTAGTTAGTGTCCTGCAAGTCAGAGAAGTAGCAATGTTTTAGAAGAAATAAAAAAAAATTGGGAAGTAAATAATACTGTTCTTAGGAAGGCTTTGAATTTGGTTAAGAGTTTGTGTCAGGGGGCCTGTTGTTGTTGTTGTTTGTTATTGAGTCATTCTGTCTCAGTGACCCTATATACTTATGTATGCTGTTGTTGTTATACGCTGTCGAGTCAGGCCCAACTCATAGCGACCCCTCCTTGGGTTTCCAAAGTAGTTATCACTACGGAAGTAGATTGCCCCGTCTTCCTTCCGAGGAGTGGCTCGTGGGTTTGAACTGCCAATCTTCTGGTTAGCAGTCAAGTGTCTTAGGCACTATGCTACCAGAGCTCCCACCATATGTATAGTGACCTATATATAGGATAGGGTTTTCTAGGCTAATATCTTCACGGGACAGAACACCAGGTCTTTTCTCCAATGGAGCAGCAGCTGGTGGGCTTGAACCACTGAATTTTTAGTCAGTAGCCATTGTGCCATCAGAGTTTGTGTCATGGGAGGCCTATGTTGTTGTTGTTGTTATTTGCCATCGAGTCGGCCCCAACTCATAGAGACCCCTCCTTGGGTTTCCGAGGCAGTATCACTACGGAAGTAGGATTACCCAACCTTCCTTCCGAGGAGTGGCTGGTGGGTTTGAACTGCCAGCCGTCTGGTTAGCAGGCAAGTGTCTTAGCCACTATGCTACCAGAGCTCCCATAGAGCCTATAGAGAGTGCCAAAACATAGGAGTTAATGTGGAAATCTCAGTATGAGAGATTTCCTATTTGTGAACTTGAACCAGTGAGACAAAGATCAGATAGTGACTGTGTTGTACGTTGGGCAGAAATGAGAAATCAGTCAGCAAGCAAATGTGGAAAGGCAAAAATGCTGAGAGAGGGGGCAGTCAGAGAACCACGCTTGGGATGTGAGGTGAACCTCAGAAATCGTGTGTTCTAGATGGACTCTAATGAAGAAGATGGAATGGTTTGAAGAATTTGAAGTAAAAAGCACATTACTTCCATTGTCTGCCTTCTCTGCTGCTAGGGGAATGAAGGATTCTTATCCTTTAAGATAAGTGTCCAGTAATCATGAGAACCTGATTAAAGGTGTGGACCCCATTCCAGAAGACAAATCCTACCTGAGTCCTTCGTATTTTGCATATATATAGTGAGGGGATTCCTAATGCTTTGACGCCTCTCCAGTTCTCTCACGTTAAGGAAGGCCCTGTAGTATTTCAAATGGCTAGCTCCTCCATATTGTATTTAATAATAGTTTCTATTTGTCTCAATTAAAAGTGGCTTAATCAAATCATGGGTTTATTTAGCTTCCATCCAAGGAGTCTCATGTTGGGCCAGGCCAGGCCTGGGACAGTAGCCCTGATGCATCACAGAGTCAGGGGCCTTCCATTTTTCTTCACCACACTTAGTACACAGGCCTCCATTTTCATGCTTAAATCCTCATGTCCCGAGATGCTGCCTGACCCTCCTGTACCTTCACATCTCCGTTTTGAATAAGAAGTGGCAGAGTAGGCTTCTGATCATATCTCATTGTCAAGAACTATGTTGTGTGGCCCACCTAGCAGCAAAAGCTGGCAAACGGATATTTCAGACAAGAAAGGGAATTACAAGTAGGATTTTAAAATCAGGTCAGCTAATCTCCAGTGTCTACCATACCATACAGGAAATTATCCTAAAAAAAGAACTCTTTAGTTTTCAAGAGTGCTTAGGTTTATAATAATCTGAATTATTTTGAATTCATTGTAATTAATTATGCTGTTAAACTAATTTTTCAAACTATCACATAACATTCCTAGGAGAAGCACAATAAACAGTCTGAATTCACTATTGAAAGCTTGGCAGGCATAATAAGTGACCTGTTTGGAGCTGGGACAGAAACAACAAGCACCACCCTTAGATACGGACTCCTGCTTTTGATGAAGTACCCTGAGGTCACAGGTATGATCACAGGTGGTGGGCCGGGTAAGATTCAGAAAGAGATTTCACAAGACATTGCTAGCATTTTCTATCTTGTTTCTCTTAGAGAAGCCTCATTATTTAAATTTCTGTGACAACAGGTAGATATTTGTACAAGTTTGGTGACAGAATAAAAATGAGACAATTTGCACAACAGGGGAGAGTGACTGAGAGAAGGGAAGGACAGTGTGGGCAATTGGTAATGTGATAAAGCTCTGGAGTGGTGTCAGGATCCTGGGGCAGGTGATTTATAGCAGGAAAGTTTCAGGGGGGCTACTGTGCACCAGCCTAGAAAATAACCAGTTCAGAATGGACAGGGTAGGTAAAGGAAGTGTAAGAAACAACATTAAAAAAAAAAAAAAAAAAGGGAAGTGATGGAATATCTAATGTTTCCCAAGAATGAATAAATTATTACTAGGAATTTGAAACATTTACTGAGCACTTAGAAATCACCTAGAAAATTTGGATTTGAAACAGCTACTTGGATTTCTGGCATGATGGCAGAACAGGCAGACAAGCTACAGAGTCCCTCTACAACAAAGAAACAAGAAACCAACTGAATCAGATATACAGGCTAAACCTGTAACACTGAGCTTTGAAGGGAAGGATAAAGAAGTGGATTAAATATACATTAGAAGAAGAAATGGACTGAAAAAAGTGAATAAGGAGACAAACAGAACTGTGGACTGTTTACTGCCCTGATGGAGTGGCCATTTTGAATATTTCCAAGCAGCGTTCCAATCCAGGCAGCGTCTTGACAATCAGCTCTGCTTGCCAAGGGTTGCATGGGCAACCACACTGATGGCTGATGACCAGAAAGGAGTGAAATTCCAATTGTACTTCACATCCTCTCAGCAAATGGAAGGTGTGGCCACCTCCCGTTACCTCCCACCTGCTGGAGAGGCAGGAATACCATCTTGGACCAGGCATCCTACTACAAGCAAACTTTTGTACAGTGGGAACTTTTTCTGAGACCAGGTACCTCACAGCCAGCTGCCATTTGGAATGGCAGTAACGTTTTTGGGAATGGAACCTTACACCCAGTTGCCTTTTGAGATAGCAGGAACTTTGCCTGGGACCAGATGCCTTTCCCATAGCTGCCTTTTTTGTCTGCAGATACTCCCTCTGGAACCAGGTGCATTGCTTCCAGTCACCTTTACAACAAACAGTGACATTGTCTTTGTCTGAGTACCCTGCCACCAGGTACCTTCTGAGCCAGCAGGAACTTCTCTGGGATCAGATTTAGTACCCCCAGTTGCCTTCTGGGTAGACTGGAACCAGTTCTGATATGAGCTGCCCTGCACCTACATGTATTTTGGGCTGGCAGGGAACTTTTTCTGGGACCAGGTGCTCTACACCCAGCCTCCTTTTGGGGTGGCAGGAACATTTTCCAAGAGCAAGGGCCCTGTGGCCAGCTGTTTTTTGGGATTTTGGGAACTTTTTCAGGGACCAGACACACTGTCCCCAGCTGCTTTTTGAGATGACAGAAAATCTTTCTGGAACTACTTGCTGCTATTTGGGCTGGCAGGATCTTTTTCTGGGTCCAGGAACCCTACCCCCAAGTACCTTCTGGGATAGCAAGAACATATCTGAGATCAAGTACTTTGTCCATAGTTGCCTTTGTGGGTAAGCAGGAACTACTGCCAGGACCAAGTACACTGCTCTGCACCATCTTCCTGGCCAGTAGGAACAATGCCTGGGCACCCTGTCCTAGTCCTGCAGTTTCCTTTTTCTTTTTTTAATTATTATTTTTTCCCTTCTTTCATTTCTTCTTTTTATTTTGTCTTTGCTTTCCCTGTTCAGGTTCATAGTTTTGTTTTTTTGGTCTTTTTCCTGGTTCCTTTCTCTGTCTTTTATTCCTTTTCTCTTTTAATTTTTCCCATCCTTTGTTTTTATTGTGGCATTTTTCTCTGCTATTCTTTTCTTTTGTCCTCTTTTCCCCATACCACCTCCATTTTCATTTTTTTTTTTCACTTTCCCTTGGCCTTTTTTTATTTTCCCCCTATTTTTCTTTTTTTCCTTTTCATGGTTTTTTGCTGTGGGTTTATGATGTTTCTTTTTTGTACTCTTATTTTGATATTTTTGGTGTTATTTTTCTTTTTTGTTCCACTTGGTGGGACACAGCAACCATGTCCACATGACCCAACCTCACCCACACCTTCTGCAGTTCCACCCACCAGGCTAAGACTACCACCTGCTTCTGCACCAACTTATCAAGAACACCTGGAGGCCAACAGTGACCCAAGCCACCCTCATTTGCTCTACACAAACAGTTAATAATGACCAATGCACACATTTTCATATTCTGTTACACCCACTAGGAGACAAGTGGTGAATGCCTAAGTATGGCCAACCCAGTGAATAGAGTAGAACACCAGCCTGCTCTTTCAGATATATCAAAACAAAATAAAGCAAAAGCAAAAAACAACAACAAAAAAGCAAACCAACCAACAAACAAAAAAGCTGGGAGAATCATACCAACATACAATCACAAATTAAATACAAACACAATGACATCACAATGTCACAGACAAAACTGGCAATCACTTTTCCCATGAAGAAGTAAGATAAAGTAGTACATACAAGGAACCAGAATTAGAGCCAGAAAACCCCCCTTAGGAAGAAGTGGCATAGGAACTACCTGATAAGGAATACAAAAGAATTGTATTTAATTACCTTCAAGTGACTGAGAGACATACCAAGGACACATGAACAAAATTTAAGAAGAAATTAGGAAAAATAGATGGAAAAAAAAAATGAAAAAATACGTGAAAAATGAGAAACCATACCAAAACAGAAAACAGTAATCCATAAGATTAATACTGAAATTTCAGAAATAGATAACACATTGAAAGGTCAAAGGAGTAGAACTAAATCAATGGAAAACAGTATTAGTGAGATTGAAAGGGAACAATCAGAAAAAAGAACAAGAGCAAAAAATAAAAACAATGAAGAGAGCCTAAAATTTATGTGTGACACTGTCAAGAGGAATAACTTATTTGTGATTGGAATTCGAGAACAGGAAAAGACAAATAAAACCACAGAGAAAATTGTCAAAGATTTTTTGGAAGAGAACTTCCCTAAATATGATTAAAGACGAGAAGATATGCATTTAATGTGTTCGTCAAACCTCAAAAGGATAGACCCAAAAAGAATATCATCAAGACATCACAATCAATATTCTATAAACCAAAGACAAAGAAAGAATACTGGAAGCAACACAGGAGAACAAAAATTTACATACAAAAGGCAACTAATAACACTAAGATCTGGCTTTTCAGCAGAAGCCATGCAGATGAGACAGCAAGGGGATGACACATATAAAACCTTGAAAGAAAAAAATTGCCAAACAAGAATTATCTACCCAGAAAAATTGTCCCTTAAATATGATGGCAAAATTAGGACATTTCCTGATAAACAGAATTTAAGTGAATTTGTAAAAACAAGATCAACCTTACAACAGATGGTAAAGGGAGTCTTTCAGACAGAGAATCAACAACAGCAGAAAACTGGTGATTAACACGCTTGACATCATAACCCAGAAACCAACCCAGATGTAGAAGAATATAAAATAAAATAGACTTACAAGACTCTCAACAGGGAAGCAGAAATATCAATTTGTAAATGAGGACAGCTACAAAGCAACAAAGAGGGAATGCAAAGTGCAGGTACAGAACTTCTAAATGGAGAAAACAGACAAAACAATTTTGAGATAAAATAGACTGTTTTAAACTAAGGAAAAAATAATAAATCATAGAGTGACCTCAAAGAAAATTAATAGTCCTTCTCATCAAGATAAAATGAGGCAAAGCACAAATATTTTGCAAATACTAGAACAGTAGCAATGAAAGAAATGATTTAAAAAATTCATAAACAAAATGAGCTCAACACAAAAACTTATATGGAACAGAGGAGTCAGCAACATGATTAAAACAAGTAAACAAAAAAAGAAACATAACAAAGTAAGAGCAAAAAAATCATACTGGTTGAAAATTACATTGAATGTAAATGGATTAAATTCACCAATCCAGACATAGAAAGTTGTAGAATGGATATGAAAACATGACACATCAATATGCTGTCTACAAGAGACACACCTTAGACCAAAAAAGAGACAAAAATTTAAGGTTGAAAAAAATATATGAAGCATTGGCAATCAATAAAGAGCAGAAGTGACAATATTAATTTCTGATAAAACAGACATTAAGACAGAAACTATCATAAGAGAAAAGGAAGGACATTATACAATAATCAAGGATAAATCAAACAAGAGGATATAAGAATAATAAATATTGATACATTCAATGAAAGAGCCCCAAAATACATAAACTTTAACAGAATTGAAAAGAGAAATAGACAACTCCACAGTAATAGTAGGAGATTTGAACACACAACTTTCAATGAAGGACAGAATTAGAAAGAAACTCAACAAAGACACAGAAGAACTAAACAATACAATCAACTAACTTGACCTTATAAACATGATTGGAGCACTTCCCCAACAACAGCATAATGTACATTCTTTTCCAGCACACATGGTACATTGTCCAGATAGACAATGTGTTAGGTCACAAAGCAAGCCTCAACAAATTTGCACACATTGAAATACTACTGCAAAGCATCTTCTCAGATCACAATACTATAAAATTAGAAATCAACAATAAGAAGATCAAGAAAAAAAAGGAAACACTTGGAAAAGGAATAACACTCTTCTGAAAAATTACTGGGAAATGGAAGAAATAAAAAAAACAAAAAAAAATTGTTGACTTACACAAGAATGGAATCACAATGTATCAAGATTTGGGGGACATAGCAAAAGTAGTGCTGAGAGGACAATTTATAGCACCAAATACACACATCAAAAGAAAAGAGAGCAAAATCTTAACCCTTAACCTTAATCTTAACCTTAACCCAACATTTCCAACAATTAGAAAAAGATCAGCAAAAAGACTACAGTCACCAGAAGAAAAGAAATTTTAAAG